CTCCACTGCACTTTCCCAATCTAAATAGTCTTTAATGTGTAATTTCCCATCAAAGAACAGAATGTCCATTTTGATGAGAAATTCGTTGTGGTGTCAATCATTCTCTCTCGGACGCCTTCGGTGGTGGTGGATTATCTCCTCATCAGAATCGAATAATTCCAACTCTCTGAATTGCTCTGCTTCTTCATCCGAATCAGATGCTTCAGGAATTAGTGTGCCCCTCACTTGATTCTGTATTCCGTCTGGTCCATGCCTGCCGTTCATGACATTTATTGTCGCCATGGTCCGTTGTAGACATTGTGCTCCAGATGAGCGTAGATTGCTCGCAAATCCTATCTCACCTTGATTTGAAATTGATGGGCATTTGCGGCTATCTCCTCTAGGCGTTGCACGAGACCTCGATGTTCTGGCCACATGGCTTCAAGGCTTTGTTCATCTCCGGGAGCCACCCGTCTGCTACTCTCCGCCATCTGGCTCTGATACCAAATTTAATGTAAGGGGTCTTGTACAAAATGAACTTAGCAAACAATGAGAGCAATGAAACATTAAAAAAAACTAAGTTTCTGTAATTCTGTATTGAAAACTAACTTGCTTTTTCTTCTTCCTAAAACATACATGCTTCCTAAAACCCTCCTATACTTGAATTAGGATAAAAAGAAAATTCTATACTGAAACACCAACTAATTAAAAAATGAAATAAAGTAGCAGGAAATAGCAGGATAGTAAAGCACATCCCGGAATAATCGAACATGTGCAGGTAAGGTGTTCCTTCATCCTAATATTCTAAAGATGATCCACATCATGATGTTTATGAGGACCTCTTTAGGCTTCGTTTAAGATTGTTTCTTATAATTTTTTGAATCATAGTTTTTAGGTACAAATATTTCATGAATAAGAAACTTTTATACTAAAAATTATTTTAGAAAACAGTAAGAAAATAATATCAAATGAAACATTAATGAGCAAATAAAGGTAGAAGCATTAATTTTAGCTGTGTCATGGATATGAGGTTCTTTGAAAAGATTCTTATACGAGAAATTGATGTGAGAAATAATTTTACTTTATAATGAAGTCTTAAAAGTGGAGCTTAATCTAAGGACTTATATTCAATAAAAAAAATGCTTTTAAACCCTTGATAAATTTAAAACCTAAATTATGAATTTGATTATTAATTATTGATTTGGTAGTAAAAAACTAAACAACACTTATAATTCTTCTGAAATATTAATTGGTGCAAATTTGATGACTTAGCTATAACAAAAGAATGTTAGTGGTTCATCTTAAGAAAATCATGCATTATAGTAAACACAATTATAAACTAAATTTGAAATTCATCTACTCGAAGCAGCATGTCACTCTGAAAATTTTCACTAAAGTATGCCAGTGTTCGTGCTTGACAGCTTCAATATAAGAGGTGGGATCGGGAGAGAGAGTGGAGTGAAAGAGATTAAAAATGGCTTTGGACTTGAGGTGATCAGTTTTAAACCGAGTTTGCATGGGATGAGAGTTAGATTTATGGATGTGATAGGGAACATGAGAGGTGTTCACTGACAGATGTGGTTCAAGAATTGGATTAGGATTAGGAGTGTTCGTGGTAGTAGTTTGGGGAAGAGTGGTGGAGCTGTTGTGGTTGCTTGTGTTGACTAGAGAGGTTGGAACTAAAATAAGAGGGAGTATGAAATTATGAGTGAAGCTAGAAGAATCGTTAGTGGAAGATTTTTGATAAGGGAATATAGCTTTGTTGAAGATTATGTGTCGAGAGATATAAACATGTCCAATAGTTGGGTTGAGACACCGATGGCCCTTCTAAGATGAGGCCTAGCTGATGAAGACGCAAGGTGTGGAGAGAGGTGAAAGTTTGGTGGTGGGGTATGGACGAAGCCATGGATAACACAAGCAACTGGAAATTTTGTGATGCTTATATGTGGCTTGTTTTTTATATAAGAGGTGATAAGGATTGTGGTGTTGAAGAGAGCGAGTGGGTAGACGATTTATAAGATAGACGGAAGTGAAAAGAGCGTCAACCCATAAGGATTGAGGGAGATGAACTTCGATGAGTAAACTGCGAGTAGTTTCGAGAATGTGGCGATGCTTCCGTTTTGCCGTGCCATTCTAGGAGGGGTAAAAGGGAATGTGTATTGATGAATTATACTCCATTGTTTGCAAAGGGTCTGAAATTGATTATTAATATACTAGCCACCACTATCTGAGCAAAGAATTTTAATATTGGTGTTGAATTGGCGAGTGATCATTTTATTGAATTCAATGAATTTAGAAATCACATAAAATTTATTTATGAGGGGATAAACCGAGCAAAATTTTGAAAAATCATCTATAAATAAGACATAGTATTTGTATCCTTGCATAGAATTAGTAGGGGAAGAACCCCAAACATCCGAATGAATTAAAGCAAAAGGAAATAGGTTATTAGTAGTAGATTTGTTAAACGGTAACCGGTGGCTTTCTGCCAGCTGAAAGGAATTATAGTTATGACTATAAGTGTTGGTGCATAAAGAGGAAATGTAATGTTTCATTTGTTTTAAGGTAGCAGAAGCAAGATGATCGAGGTGTTTGTGCCATAAATTGGGGGCGTCTTGAGCCGAAAGGAGAGAAAAATGTTGTGGGGAGGAGGAGTATCGAATGGAGTATAATCCATTAAGGCAAGGATCCTTAAGATGAAGGCGTCCCATCATCGAATCCTAGATTTGATCAAAGCCATGGGAGGAAATTTGACAGTGCAATTGTCATTGGTGGTAAGACGATGGATAGAAATCATATTGAAAGATTAATTAGGGACGTGAGAAAGATAATCAAGATGAAGGTTACATATGGGAGTGGGAATAATGCCCTTCCCAGAACGTTGAATGGGCAATTGGTGACCATTTCCCATAGTGATTTGTTGTGAACCATGGTAAGGCTTAAGAGATTGAAGCTTCAAGGAATCAAAGGTTAGATGAGTAGTGGCACCGCTATCAAGATACTAGTCTAGCGAGGCGGAATGGTCAGAAGGGGATAAAAGAGCATCTTTTTTAGCTTTGCCGGTGTATGGGGGATCATGGAGATACCAACAACGGAGAGCAGAGTGACCGATTTTAACACAGTATGTTGTTGGAGGGCGATTTGTCCTAATGCAGTCAGGATGATCGAGTAGAAAAGGGTGGGCAACCTCAGTTGGAGGAGTTTCGTATGCGGTTGCGTCCACAAGAGGCGACAAGGGCCAGAGTAGGTTCGGAAATTCGGAGAGATTGAAGTTCTTTGGATGCTTCTTGAGCAAGATTTTGCTCTTCACTGGATAACATAGTGTATAAGTCATCAAGGCTAAGGGGTTGAAGGTTTGTACGTATGGCAATTTTGAAGGCTTGATATTGAACGAGAAGACCATTTATGGTGTAAAAATGACATATTCGAGATCAAGAGGTGATCCGGTCACAGCGATGTCATCCACTTTGGATTTGATGGAAAGAAGGTATTGGAACATGGTTTGATTTTTCATGGACATGTGATGGAGCTCGTTGCGAAGTTGAATGGTGTGAGAGCGAGTGGATGATTGGAGGCGACGGGCGATGATGTCCCACATCTCAGTACAATGATTCAAAGATAGGACATAAGGAAGAAGATTGGGAAAGATAACCGAGTACAAGGCAACATCTAAATTTTGATCAAGAAGAGTCCAAGTTTGATAGGACAAGGATGAAGGTGACGATAGGGCGTGCGGGGAGGGGCAAGAGCAGGTCCTATCAAGAAAGCCCTTAAAGCCGTTTGATCTGAAAAGCTTGAAGATCTGAGAGCGCGAGATTGGGTAGTTGTCGACGGTGAGAGTGAGGGAGATAATGCTCTTAATGTTACCCATGAGAAATTTCAGTTGATGAGGGATGGGTTGGGGATCGAAGGTAGCGCTGGAGTTTTGCTAAGCGTCGGGCGCGGCGATGAGAGTAGAGGATGAGGTATCCATGAACGGCCTTAAGCTAGCTCGGGTTGCGGTCACTAGATGGCCTGCTCTGATACCATGAAAGTTTCGTTGCAACAGGCAGAAACAAGAACAAGAAGGAACAAAGGAAGGAGAAGGATAAAATATTTTGTATTAATTTCACTATTTCATATTACAAGAGCCTATATATAAATAGAAAGAAGGAAACAGACAAATAACATTATACCAAATGGTAACATGCCACATGTTATCTTGATAACAGCCTGGAGCTTGAGCCGAAGTGTGTTAACAACTCGTATGCTTGCAAATGAACCAAGCGTTCGACGAGCTATTCGTAGCTCGGTTCAATAAGAACTCGTTCATGTTTGTTTGATAAAGTAAACGAACGAACTTGAACAACTTGGTGTTCGATTTGTTTATGTTCACGCACATTATCGTTTAATGCTCATGAACCAACTCGTTAAGAAGCTCGACTAGAGTTTGACTAAGAAGCTTGATTAGAAGTATATTAGAGTTTTAAAAAATAAATATTGTTAACTTTAATAATTTATTTTTACTAATCAAAACTAAAATCGTTTAATAATTTATTTTTACTTCCTGATTCTACCTAAAATCATAAACAACACACTCTTCATATATAAGTTGAATCATAGAACAGTTTTTTTTTAAACGAGCTCATTTGGTAGCTTGAAAATACTAATTAGATATATTAATTAGCATGTGCATTTGATACCTCAAAAATACTTATAGATATGTTTGTAAACGAGTTTATTTGATATTTTAAAAAATGTTGATAGATATCTTCACGAACATGATTATTATAATTATTTGTTAGAAGGCTTGATAATGCTCGTTTGTTAAGCTCAATAAGACTCGATAAAGATTGAGAAGGCTCAATAAGGCTCGAAAAGGTTCGATGTCCTTATTTGTGAGACCATTTAAAATTTCATTTGCAGCCCTAGTCGCTCGTTTGGATGACTTTGGCAAGTTTTATTTTTATCATTTTTCGTTGTTTTACTGGCTAATGAAATCTTAAACGATCATTAGTTTAAAAATGTAACCTATTAAAACTCGTGTACCCTCCTCTAATGGAAATCCAGTTCATCTTATGCCTCTGCTTTGCTTCCAGTCCCAGGTTAGACCTTTCCTCCGCCGCCAAAGCTCCGGCCGCCTTCTCACAATTGGCTGCCTCCACTCCACCTTCATCTCCAACGGCGAAGACGCCGATCTCCCCGCCCTCATCTCCAACCTTGTCCTCACTCACTCCTCCACCGCTGCGTCCCTTGCCGCCGCTCTCTCCTCCTCCTTCCCTTCCCCCTCCCTCTCCCCCTCCATCATCGACGCCGTCCTCAAACGCCTCTGGAACGACGGCCCGCGCGCTCTCATCTTCTTCCGAGCCCTTCTCCGCCTCCCCTTCTTCTCCCCCTCTGCCTCCTCCTTCGACTACGCCATCGACATCGCCGCCCGGCTCCGCGACCGCGGTTCCCTCCGCTTCCTCCTCTCCGCCCGCCAGGCCGCTGGCCTCCCCCTCTCCCATCGTACCTTCTCCGTCCTTGCCGAGCGCTTCGCCAACGCCGGCAAACCCGACCGTGCCGTCCGCCTCTTCCTATCCCTCCATCACCAAGGCTGCCGCCAAGACATCCGCATCTTCAACTCCCTCCTCGACGTCCTCTGCAAGTCCCGGCGCGTGCGCAAGGCTACCTTCCTGTTTAATTCCTTCAAGTCCCGCTTCGGCGCCGATGCCATCACGTTCAACATACTCGCCGAAGGCTGGTGCCGTCTCAAGCGCACGGCAACGGCTCTTGATGTGCTGAAGGAGATGGTGGATTCCGGCCTGGAGCCGACGCTGACCACTTACAATATCTTGCTGAAGGGGTATTTCCGGGCGGGGCAGCTTAAGGAGGGATGGGAGTTCTTTCTTCAAATGAAGAAGAGAGGTAGGAAGGAGGGATCCGGATGTTGGCCGGACGTTGTTTCTTATACCACGGTAGTGCATGGGCTCGGTGTTGCCGGCCAAACCGAGAATGCCCGCAAGGTGTTTGATGAAATGATCGTTGAAGGCTGCCTGCCTTCTGTAGCTACCTATAATGCTTTGATACAGGTGTTATGCAAGAAGGACTGCATCCAGAATGCACTCTCGGTGTTTGATGAAATGCTGAGGAGAGGTTACACACCAAATGTGACAACATACAATGTGTTGATCAGGGGGCTATGCCATGGCAGTGAGATGGGCCGAGCGATGGAGTTCATGGATAGGATGCGGCAAGAGGGATGTAGACCAAATGTTCAGACTTATAACGTTGTGATTAGGCATTGGTGTGAAGAAGGTGAGATAGAGAAGGCTTTGGAGCTGCTTGGAATGATGAAAGAGGGAGGTGATTGTTTGCCAAATCTGGATACATACAATGTAGTGATCAGCGGCATGTTCATGAGGAAGCGGTCGGAGGACATGTTGGTAGCTGGAAGGATGGTGATGGAGATGGCGGAGAGCGGGCATTTGCCGAGGAGGTTCATGTTCAATAAAGTGCTCAACGGTTTGCTGCTAACCGGTAATCAAGAGTTTGCTCGGGAGCTCTTGCGGATGCAAGATAGATTTGGGCGTTTGCGCCGTGAGATGAGGCTTTGAACCTTACTTGCTTTCAATTTTGGTAGTGAAGGCTTACTTCCAAGTGAATATGGGCCAACTTTTACTTAAATGGTCACTGAGCTAGTTTACAGTTGCAGCTTGCATTTTGGCTAGTTTATTCTTCACTTCTGAGACCAGAGTATATAGCTAATGAAGAAAGCTGGTTGTCAAGGATGCTTAAGCTAGGCCTTTTCTTGCAGGGAGAGACATTCACGGCACAGAAAAGGGTAAAATGCTTTCAGTTTTGCTGTATATGGAGGTAATTGCACTTGTGCAATATTTGCCATTCCAATTATTGCTACTTGTATAGTTGTATTTACATGCAGATATTGCAATGGCTAGAGTCAAGGTTATTTAAATCGTTCTATGTAGATATCCAGCCTCAATCTGAATTTTATTCAATACTCTTAGGTATTCTGAATAGCAGAAGTTTATAAAAGGATTCATGGCTTATGGTTAGAACAAAAGATTATTTATTCAATCTCACAAGTTTTAGCTGCATAATTTACTGTTTATCTATTTATTGCTCACCATTCCCAGCAGCAACAACAACAACATCAAGCCTTTGTCCCACTACGTGGGGTCGGCTACATGAATCCTTTTTCGTCGATGTGTCGTGTTAAAAGTCAAATTCTCATTTAAATCTAATAAAGAAATATCATTTCTAATATTTTTTAACCAAGTCTTTTTAGGTCTACCTCTATCTTATTAACATAAGTCAAATCTAATACCTCAACTTTCCTAACCGGGT